CAATTTTACATAACATCGATGATATTTTTGGAGTATCCGCTATTACCGTTGGCGATTGGAAATTGATACAAGGTAAAATTGTGAAAATTGAAATCAATAGGGAAACAAATGTTTCATGAAAGTAAAATTTATTAAAGAAATAAATTCGTGTATACAAATCGTATCTCGTTTTTATACGTATATACATATATACATATATATATATATATATAACTTTAAAAATTAAATATAATGAAATAAGGGAAACATATACAATTTAAAATCATTGAATCATCTGTTTCGTTTATAATCTTTCGTAATTATTAGTTCGACCGTAGACAAGGTAAAGCATCTTTTATGAAATGAAATCGTAAGAAAGATCGTTCATTTACAAGGTTCTACCTATAATGGGGCATGGGATGGATGGTATGGTCCATCCGGAAGAGAATGGGTTTATAACGTTGGTGCAGTAATCGGTGGTATGGCTGGTCGTGTGATAACCAGTTTAGGTCTTTCTTTAACGCCAGAGAAAATCCATGAACTTCGAGATAATTCGCTTATCAAATGTCCACCTAAAAATGATTCTTTACCCGCATGCAAACCTTTAGAAGCAGCATGCCTTTTCAACGTTCAACAGGATCCTTGCGAGGATAATAATCTGGCTAACGAGTTAGTAAACCTTATCAATATAATTATTCGATAATATAATATTTACTTGTTTGACTTTTTAAATTATATTGGGCACGTTAAATTTTTACAGATTACCAACGATATTGAAGAAATTACAAGATGAGGTAAAAAAATTTAATGCAACGGCAATTCCTCCAGGGAATTTGCCATGGGACGAAAAAGCTGATCCAAAATTGTGGGATCACACTTGGATTAATTTCGGGGATTATATCGATACGATGACTAGTTCAGCGGCATGAAAAATAAAACTTTTTTCATTTACTTTTGTCTCTTTCTTTTCTTTCTTTTTAATTCTTATCTCGTTGATCATTAATGTAAGTATGATATGAAGCTATTTTAATTGTTTATAATTGGCCGTGTTAGATTCCTTGATTGAATTATTCTCGATCATCGTAACTTTAACACAATTAAGAAAATATAGAAATTACATCATTAAAATATATGAAATTTTCAGTTTTCTATTTTTAATCAAAAAAATCATCAAATAATTACGAGCAATAATTACGAATCTATGACAGACCAATACCACGTGTCTTTTTCACTTTATTACACATACATTTACAAGTTTTAAGATCCCAAATCATATTCGATATCTGCATAAATTTTTCTTTTTCTAAAATATACAGAGAGAACTTGCAATCTATCCTCAAGCATAATATTTCTGTTTGTTATTGCAGTGATCAAGCATTTCGTCGTAATTATATTTAAAAGAAAATATTGCGATTAGGATTTCGTACATTTGTCTTGTTCTTTTTTTTTTTATTTTCTATCCTTATATACGAAATCATCAGATATTTAATTTAATCAATTTGTATAAATAAAAAGATAAAGACGATAGAGACGCGCTAGAGAGAGAGAGAGAGAGAGAGAAATAGATAGAAAAAGAAAGAGATTGTAAATTGTAATTCATTTATTACTTAATAATTTATACATCTTCTCGATTTCATTTTGGAGAGTGTCAATTTCGTCGGGACACGTACAAAGTAAAAAAAATCAAGATTCATAGAGGAACGAAAAAAACCAATGTTTTTTCGTCTATGTTTCTTTCCTTTTTTATTCTTCTTTTTCTTTTTTTATTTTTCATTTAGAATGTCAGAATGGGTCCTTCTCGATGATCCAATATATCTGATAAGAGAAAAGAATAATCATGAATGCATATACATATACATATATGAATTTTAATTAAATCGTGTCTTTGTAATTTTCCCCGATATAAAAATAATTATAGCAAATACCTTTTGCTATGCTCCACCAGGGCAACGTGATGTAGGTGAGAAATGCATTGAGAGGCACGGATTGGGCTCTTCTGGTCTCCTTCCAAAAATGAAATGTCTGGGTGAATCCTCGCATCGTCCAAAGAGGATTATACGCGCCGTCGTCCAGTTCTGTTATCAGAGAAATACTCGTCATTCGATGCGAGCTAATGATCATCCTTTTGTTTATTATTTTTTTTTTGTTTTCTTTTTTCTTTTCTTTCTTTCTTTTTTTTCCATTTTCTTTTTACGAGTGAGTTGTGTCGATGAGTCATTCGGTGATGTTTGTCGCGTATGAATGCGTGTGTACGTTTCTTTTTCTTTTTGTTTTTTTATTTTTTTTTTTTTCGTCTTTCATAAACATTATTTATTTATTTTTTTGTTTGTTTTTGTTCTTTGTTTTTTGTTTCTTTGTTTTTTTTTTTTATTTTTTTTTTGCGCAATTATTTCGATCGAAGGGGGGAACGATTATGGGGCGGTGGGGGTAGGGGGGACAATGCGATAAGAAAGGGTCGAAATCGAATTTGTACGAGTATACGAGAATTAAGGGGTGTTGAGTTGAACCTATGATATATGAA